TATATATATGTAATTATAATATTTATTTAATAATAATAATAATAATAATGATAATAATAGTAATAATGAATAAGCATGTTTTAAAGAAAAGAATTATTTATAATTTATTTATTTAATAGAATAATTCTTCGCAAATTATTGATGTAAAATTATTTCTCCCAAGTTTGTGAAGAAAAAAAAAACAAAGAAAATTAATTACAAACGTTGTGCATGTGTGTGTGTGTGTGTGGTTATTATTTATTATTATTAATCTTTAACGTCATACAAATTATTTATAATCAAAAAGTATAGTAAAATATCAGAAAAAAAATATAAAAAGAAAAAAAAAGAAAAAATATAATTAAAAAAGAAGAAGGGGAAGCATAATAAAAAAAAAAAAAAAGAAAGAGTGCAACAATGCGAGACAGAGTGCAGTAATGCAAAAGAGAGTGAGATAGAAGAAGAAGAAGAAGAAAAAAAAATAGAAAAGAAAAGAAATGTATTATGTTGATATGGCGATATCGAACAGGACAACCATAATGGTGAATAAGGAGGGCAGATTATCGTGGCATTAAACATTAATTAGAAAAATGGCGAAACGTTCTATGTTATAGTATATATATATATATATATATATATATATATATAATAGTATGTGTGCATTATATACAACGAGATAGCCACTATCGGGTTTAACATTATTATGCTACGGGTGTCATATGTGTTTTATGACCGTGCCCGTTCTACAAGTCCGTCGTTCCTTTTGCACCGGCATAAAAAAAAAAAAAAAAACAATTCACAAAGTCGCATTAACGTAGTCAACGGAAGCTCAACCACCATAAAAAAAAAAAAAAGAACAAAATTATAATAATAAAACATTATACAGGAAAAGTATTACAATAAAACGAAATAGCATAAGAGAAGTGTGGTGGTGGTGGGGTCAGAGCTTGAACAAGAATGATGAACTATTATTTTTATAATATTTCCTTTTTTTCTTCTAATATTAACATTAATTATTTTTTATCTATTTGATATAATAAATAATAATAATAATAATTTTGCAAAATTAGTATCCATCTAATTAAATTATTTAATTGAAAAAATGTGAAAACCCCAAATTTACGTAAGAAAATGATAAATTGTAAATTATTCAAACTAAATGTGAAATAATTGGAACACCCTGTATAGATATTAAACATTTTAATATGAAATATTAGAAGAGATCAAATTTTGATACCTGAAAAAGTGAACAAGGTCCTTAAACAAACATTAAAAACATGCATCGAACCAGACATATGATTTTCTTGATACAAGAAAGACTGAATTTAAAAATGGGCACTATACGGGGACACCATAAGAAAGTAAGAAAAATAAAATAAAAATAAAATTTCTGGAAGTGGAAAAGAGAGAGAGAGAGAGAGAGAGAAAGAGAAAGAGAAAGAGAAAAGAAGCAAAGTTGATTTTTTCCTGTGTCGGCATTTCGAGCACGTGTGATAATATTGACCTTTGACTATGGTGGTGGTCAAAATGGTCGAATCTTCTCCTCTCTCTTTCTCTCTCTTTCTCTCTCTTTTTAATCAAATATGAATCCTAATCAAATACACGTATATACACGTCTTTATACACTTAGAATTCCAAGATCTCAACGTTCTATCTTCTTTTTTTCCACGATAATCATTTTTTTTTTTTTTTTCAATGGTCAAGACGTATCGTATATTTTAATATTCGATATTTACCCCCTCTCTCCTAACCCCCGATTGAAATAATATTGACCTAATCGTTGAACAAAATTTTTAAATATTTCCTTCCTATCTTATTTCTCTTCTTTTGATATGAAAAAAATTACTGTAATAATATAATAATTTTCGAATTTTAATAATTATTTTTACTATATATGAATATTTTATATATAATCAATTGTGTATATAATAAATAATATATATATATAAATATTAATATAATAAAATTTGGAAATAATTTTGTATGTTTTTTTTTATAAAACTGAACTAAGAATAGTTTGGATTCGCGTTTATTTTTTATTTTTTATCGCTAATTTATAGGTTATCCTCTAAGTACTGTAATTTTTCAATAGATGGTGCTGTATCATAATTGAATTATTTTTCAGGTTTTTTTTTTTCTTCAGATTTTTTATACGACATAATCTAATGTCGTATATTTTATATATAATTTTTTTTTTGTTTTTCATTGTATTATTATTTTATTTATCACATAATAATTGTGATATGATATTGTGCGTCCTATTAAAATAATATATAAATAATATATTGTTATATTAAATGAAAAATAAAATGGAAATATGTGAATGGGATGATCGACCGATGACAGACAGTTGTTATTATCAATCGTTTCACTTTCTCTTTGATATTTTTTGTCATTGAATAACTAACACAAAAGAAGAAGATGTTTCAAATTGATGGATATTTCTTGAAAGGGTTTAACGACAACAGAAATAACGCGTAATAATCACGAATAAGTATTATCGTAATACGCTGTATGACAATTTCTTTGAAAAGTTAAAACGTAATCACCATATTATATATTATTTTTTATTTCTCTCAATCCCCATACACGACGCATATTTACACGTAGTACTCACATCACCCATCAACTACATACATAGAAACGTTTTAAAATATACCCGCAGAAAAAGAAAAAAAATAGAAAACGACAAAAACCCTAGTAATAACTAATATATCGTGAAAGAAAGATAAGAGCGTGAGAAAGTCATCGTTGATTTTTTTTTTCTCTCTCTTTCTCTTGGTTTTTTTTTTTTTTTTTTTTTTTTTTTTTTTTTCTTAACTTTTACCGGATAAACTCTATCTCTTCTTTTAATATGGTTTTGTTGAAAGACTATGTTTTAACACGTCAATTGTCAATTTCACTCAATTTATTCTTATTCAAGTTTCTTTTTTTTTATTTTATTTTATTTTATTTTATTTTTTTTAGATTAAATTATCGAACAAAAGATAATATTACGATTTTAATAGTACAATGATTTTATAGTATTATCATTTTTTATTATTAAAGTAATATAATTTATTTAATATTTATATTATGTGTCACGTTGTATGTTCGCAATGGACTCCTAAATTACTGAACCGATTTTAATCAAATTTTCCACCCTGTGTGCAATTTCATCCAACTTGAAAGATAAGATTGTTTATATCTCAATTTAAAATTGCAATATTATTTTATTGCGAATTATTTATGTATTGGACTGATTGTGAGCCACAGTAATGTGTGACGGGACACCCTTAGTATAATATATATTATTTAATTAATATAATTTTGTTGATCTGTACTAGAATATATATTTTTAATTATATTTCTTTTTTCTTTATTCTATGTATATTTAAAATGGTTGACCCAAATAGAAATATATTTTTGATCAAGTCATAGTAGAAAAAAAAAAAAAAAGAAAAAAAAAAGGAAAAAGAAATATAAATGTATAATAAATGCATTCATTTTCTAATGGTGTCGCAAAAACTGATAAGAAAATATATTCGTAGAAAATAATACTATGTTTGTTTCCCACCCAACCAACCAACCAACCAACCGACCAACCAACCAACCAACCAACCAACGTTCAACCATTTGAAAAATCTTTAAACGATGACTACTACGACTTATTGTTAAATATAAAATGGTATATACATACATACATACATACACACACATATATATACACTCATATATATCCACACACACATATATTTAACGACACCTTCTATAGATTAAGAACATTGTTAAATACGATTTTGCAACATTTAAATGAGTATGTTAATAATGCGATATAACATAACCATAGTGTT